AATTTGAGTATTTTTCTATGTTATGTTCATGTTTATGTTCATAAACTTTTTATTTAATAAAATATGTTTTCATAGTTTGTGTTGTCCCTTATTATCAATGCAAAATGGTCACTAACTAAAGAGGATTTATGCTGATATTGCCCAAAAACCCTATTTTGTTCAGGCATTTCCAAACTTTTGGAGGGCAGTGTATGTGTGTATAAATGAGTGTTACTGTCTACTGAATTTCACTGGAAGAAAAGGAAACATTAAAAACATGTGCACTGTAATAAACTGCTGTAAAGTTTACAGTAATTTACTGTCAATCTGCTTTTCCAGTAAAGTACTGTAGTATCTTCATGTTGTATAAAATGACACATAACCCTGCACACTTGCTCATTTGGCTGATGCAGGATACAACCGAGCTGAAGTCTTGGGTCTTGCCCAGAGATGACAGCTGGGATTTGAACACACAACCTTCTGAGCTGTCACTCAATACCTTAACCACTGAGCCATGACACCAACACCACAACCACACAACTACACCACTACACCACCGCAGCTAGCTTGCATTGATTCAAATACTTCTAGCACTGAATTAATGCCGCTAAAAGACTGCAATGAATCAGTGCAAGCTAGTCATGCTAGCTGTGGTAGCTCAGTGGTTATGGGTTTGAGTTGCAGCTAAGAAGGTCATGTGTTCAAATCCCAGCACCAACAAACTGCCTTGACTGGATCCTTCAGCTCAGCTGTATCCCGCATCAACACATGGGGTTATGTGTTATTTTCTACTGTGTGTGATATCACAGTACTTTTCTGTAAATGTTTACAGTAGTTTACTGTAAATTTTACAATACTATCTGCACAGGAAGTGTGTGTTTAGCGTGTTTAGCGCTCCGATGCTCTCAGATGAACAAGTGAATAATGTAAGATCGTACCTTACAACCGAGTAGCCATGACTTCACATATATATATATATATATATATATATATATACTGTTTACATTAACACGCTCGCTCCAGTCATACGCTATCGTTTCCATAGCAACAGCTCGTTCACAGGGTCTTGTACACTAACAGATAAAAAGCATAACGCGTCCTTTTTTTTAAATCAATTACAAATTGTAATTGTTGTTAAATCGCTGTGGTGTAAGAGGAATAAAACACTTGGGGGCATGCTGTTTGAGGAAAGTAATCAGCTTTGGGGTGTGTAGACTTTTTATCTGCGCTGTATATATATGACACTTTATTGTTGCAAATCTGTTACGGAAGCCATTTTATAGATAACCTGAAGTTTTTCTCTTCGCAGTTGCTGTTGAGCGCTGAACCGTTCCCGCCGGCCGACGAGCGAAGAACCGCGTGTTAGTCGCTGAAAACGCGCTGAAGACGTGATGGTGCACTTACTTTCGCACTTTTTCCCTGTTCTAGTGTCTGAAGTGGAACTGGAACGATCTGATAACTAACCAAAACAATGTTATTAAATAAAATCATTAAAAAATTGTCATAGAATCATCATCATTTCAGCGTGTATCACAAAATATGCGTAAATTTTTATCTTTGGAATGGTTCATGCTAAGCTAGCAGGCATGCTAGCTATCTTAGTGATCTTGCCTTTGTGCAATATTAGCCTGAGAAGCTCCATGATAGCAATCTAGAAATCATGCTAGCTAACTTTGCTAATGTTAGCGACGGACCGATGGAGATTGCGATATTTACGTTGTATATACACTGACACGTTTGTGTTTAGTTACATATGAATAAAGCACTGAGGAAATGTCTCTGTAAATCAGTGTCCTGACTCTGACTCAGGAAAGGCGGTGTGCTAGCACACGACTAGCGGGCTGTTAACTAGCAGCCTGGAAGCTTAGCTTGATGGTTTATGGTATATTTTTGTTATATTTTTCTGTTGTTTAATAAATCACTAAGAGGGAAACTTCGCTAGCATGCTAGTCAGAAGGTAACATTTACAAATTCTGGCATTTGTAATGATGCTAAAGCTGAAGAGACGGCAAATAGGAAAATAGTCAGCATTGTGGTGGTAGCAGTAGCTCAGCTTCATCACACCATTGTGTCGTTGATTATTTTCCTGTAACAGTGTGACATGGAGTGTTTTCTTCGAGTGTGTGAAGAGTTTAACTCGAGTGAATTTCTGTCGTGATTGCGATGTTAGAAGCTAAATTGAAAAAATAACAAGTCTCGGGGGTTGTAAGGGTTAATCCTCGGGAGAGAGAGAGAATAATTAGCGGTTATGCTAAGTGTGTTAAGTGTGTTAAGTCTCTGTGGAGTAAAACGTTAGCGTGCAGGTTAACATCGGACAGAAGCGTCTCACTGACACTCATTAACACCGTGTGAGGATTCACAGCGCGACGTGATG